GAAGTGGTCACTGCAGCTAGAATTATTATACTGAAATTTAAGGTGTCAGACCCTTTGGTTGAAGAAGACCAGAGAAAAGCCTACAGAACCTTCAGTCGTCGTACGATGCAATGGAGCGTCGAACTCCGAACCGAGAGGTCACTAGTTCGAGCCCCTTTCGAGTCACTCGCTTCTGTACTACCATTTACTAGTTAATAACTGAGTACTGTTCGTTGGAAAGGAAACAGCAGACTGCAGACGATGTTTGTCAGATAGCCGCTGTCGGTTCTGCCTGCTTACAAAAGAATGAGGCATTCCTCGCTGATGGCATGGAAATGGAGATCAGCGAGGACCAACAACTTGGTGAATGGAAGGAAGCCAGAAATGGTTCCCACGTGAAGGTGCAAGAAAGATCGACATTCCAACAGTTACAGACTTTTCCTTTTCCCTTTGCTGGGCACGTTTCATTTGGCATGAGGCAAAATTTCGCAACTTCAAATAGAAGGTGAATTTTGCAACAAGGACTGCCGGCTAATTCAACGGAGCCTAAGGCCGTTTTTGAAGTCAGTCACTCAGACAGTTGTAATCTTAATTAATTTCTGATGTCGATATATTCGGAACGCGCTGTTCTTTTGTTTGCAATTGCCTATGGGGACTCATCAAGCAGATAATGACTCCATGGCATATGAGCACCTGCAGCTCGCTGGAAGCACGACCTCTTGTTTGAGATGGGCGAAGCAAATGAGGTTTGAGTACAATCTATGTCTGCCACGTCCGTAGGCAAACGTGTCGACAGGAGATAACTCAGATGTTTTGGAGGTAGTTACCACATTGCCGGAAACTATTGCATGTCAATTGCTGATACAGAATTCCCGTTTAGTAGTCGTTTTAACAGGGCACGGCTCAATGCCTTGTGTGCACCTGCAAGGTATTGGATGTAGGACCGCTTAAATGGTCCCCAGAAGTGATTGGAGCAAGAGGTGGTGCGCTTACGCCGAGTAAGTCCGGCATTAGAAATTGAAATGTCATAAATACTGGCGGAGGTGCAAGACTAACCCGGAACCCGGATATTAGGTTCATATTCTTACCTAAAAAACATACATATACGACGTTTTCATATTTACTTCGCCTGTTTCCTTCACGTGTATAGCGTTATTGTCTCAAGGAAATTTGATTTGTCATTAACAAGCGCATTTCACGTGATATCTAATATTTTTAACACCAGGTGAAGTTATAACACTGCGGTTCGTCCATTCATAATAAAGTCGCTAGTGCATCAGAAAACGAATTCTACATTAACACTGTTGATGATCAAGCCTTATCCTGACGCCCGCGAACGTGCATAAATACTAGCTTATGATCAAAACATACTGCATTAATCAGGTCTCTGATCATTCTCAAAACGCGTCTCATTTTTCATATCGTTCAATATGCGTGTCGATTTATCCTCTTGACGGATAATCAAATTATTTGAACGGGCGGAGCTTATCCGCTGATTAAAATTGTTTTTGACCTAGATCTATAAACATACGAAATCTACCGATATGAAAGCCATTTGAAAGCACCGCTGCCTTGAAAGCACCTTTTGAGTTATTTTAAGTAAGACACAATGATCCTTGTGCGTCTATTTCACCCATTGTCTCCGCTAGCAAAGTTTCTATAATCCTGCAACCACGTCTTCATATGAATATTTGTGCTTTGTTGTCTGGGGCCGACGTCCCACGTTCACTTGGTGCCAAACTAATAGCAATAAAAGTAGTTGAAAATGGTTAGACGTGCTTTGCGTTCTTGTTGAGAATAAGGGCAGAGACCCCGTTCCAACTGCCCTCGCCAAACTCGTACCCCGGCATATATACCCGAAGCATATTTGTTTACGGTGTGGAGAAAAGTTTAAAGTATCCTCCGCTACTTACCATCGCCTCACAAACTAAGACATTTCACAACGGACCTCATCACCTCATATAACCCTAGCTTTCCTGATTCACGAAACCAAAGGATCAAACCTTCAATGAGCCTTGACGCCCACTGTCGTCTTCTGGTCTTCCTATCAACCCATGATTTACCTTCCCGCTCAATTCACTTTCTTGGCTGAAGAGGGATCGGAAGAGGAACTATGCTTTGTGATTTTTATCATAATCAGCTATCAGGTTAGTCAAACATCCATATCCTGGAATGGTTCAAGGGTTACTTCTCATGACTTTTGCAATATGTCTTACTTTGTTCAAGATTTACCCTTCAGACTTTGCTGGAAAGACATTTGGGCGGATTATCGCTGGTAGGTTGAAGAAGTCCATAGATAATTCGTTCCGTTAAATGTTAAAGATAAATGCTCTGTCCGAAATCCCTGTAAACTGAAAGATTATTGTCGGATTGGTTCAATGCTACCAGTGGAGTCCGTCAAAGGAACATGTTCTTTACGTTATTGTTTAAAATCGTGGCGGACTACGTTACGTGGAAGAACGTCGTACCAAATTATAATGAGGGATTGACCACAAGTCAGCCATGCAGTTCGAGATATCCGGCTGTATTTCTAACAGACGTTCAGTACACCGATGACATCGTGTTGCTAAGCGACTTCACAAGTGGCCCATTGCGTGTGCAACACTGATATTGGAGTGGGGCTACGTATCAACGCCTTGGAGACGAAGATTGTGCGGGCTCCTGGTGCGACCGTCAGACCGAGGATATTATTGGATTGTATTACGATGGATGAGGGGGACTATTTTCCAGTACCTCTTGACTAACGACAGCGACATTAATCCTGGAGTAAGTCCGCATATCAGACTGTCACCACTGAATGATAGTAAGCTGCATGACATATGGAAGGATTAGACTAAAAGAACGGACTCGAAGATCACCGTTCTGAAGGCAGCCGTATTCACGGATGCTATGTACAATCTCGAAACGTCTGGGGTCCTGAAGCACCATGAAGCTCGTCTAGACAGCGTCTAACAATGCCTTTTGAACAGTATCTTCAGGATGCGATGGTACCGCTGGGCTGAGATTATCGGTCTGAGAAAACTGTCTCATAAACTCAGAGACCGGTGCCAGGCTTGGTTTGATAAAAACGGCCCTAAATGAGAATGGCAGTATATTGAAAACTATTCTCTCTTCGGAACCGCGTATTGAAGGTACTGGATAATGGTGAATCACGTCGTTGTGGCAGAACAGACGTGCTTCCGAAGAGCAGCATGATGGCCTTTGCCTAATATCAATATGAATATTCCCAACGGCCATACATCATAAATCTAAATTACACTGGAGTTTATGCCTTGCTAATTTTAGATGACGATGACAAAACAAACAGGCAACTATAACCTGATGTCTGACTGGTTTTGATCTAATCTTGAAGCAGTCCAACAAAGTTGAATGCCGATATTTGAGGCGGAATACTCATGAATACAGGAGATCAATATATACATTAATTACTGACACTTTTCGACAACGGGCGAGGTCAAATGCCTGAGGGTCGTGCTTTCTTCTAACTTAAGATGGTTCGCTCACATAACTGCTGTTTTCAACAAGATCACGAATACATGCCTTTACGTGCACTGCACGATTGTACCAGCAAGTGCAGTACAAAGATTTGTCATCGCACGGAATTTACTTATGCTCACTTATGGGGGTTCAGTCGTCGTCCAGGTTTCAGGCGTGAGCAAAGCCACTTCAAGCTGATGCGTCTTGTGCCAAGGGGGTATGCTTCGAAACCTTGGCAAAACAAGATGGAATCGAATCTATGATGAATCATACGCTGGTACTCGCTGGAAAGATCTCAGACATCTCAAATATCATTCAACCGAACTGACACAGGGTAAAACATATCGATGCGTACCCGCCCATAGAGAATTTCAGGAAAATGCATCGTTCCCATAATGGTGCACTGTTTACTCCAAATTATGATGAAATGCTTAGTCCTATTTGTGACTATCTCATTTTAATTCAATTCAAGTCAAAATGAATTGTAGCCCTTCGAGACACTCACGTTTGATAGCG